ACGGCCATCCTTCCTCTGTTTGCGTTTCCGGGGCTGCAGGCGCTTGATGGCACCCCTCTCCTTGTCTTCTTGCTTCGTGAACAGGTCAAGCAGGCACCCCCCACGCTTGCAAAGATGAAACGTATGTTCGACCGAAAACTCTAGTTGCGGGAAACGCTGGGAGACACTGACTTCCATGCTGAACTCTTGAATTCTATCCCGAACCCTCAGCCTAGGCTGGCGGAGACCTGCACCATCGTCTTGGCGACGGCAGGCACTGCAGGTCGCCGCCGCTCTCGGCGAGAACATTCCTGCCAAATGGAAATACAGCAGGGACGGCCCATGGTTTATGCGATGCTGATAGTGGTGAACTATTGCTAGACATGGCCCAAGGCTCAGTTTTACATAGTGCGAGTGAGCTCCGCTGGTGTCATCGTGACAACCGCCTTACCCCTCACTACAAACACACGAGACCCGACGCAGGGGGTGGAGAATCCGCAAGATACACCGCACGAACATGGTGTTCAATTCGTCGCGACTACGGCACAGGTAGTGGCGATCCAAAATTAGGGCAACCCCTGGAGGCTTCTTTTGTCACATTCCTACTGGGGAACGAAATCGCCAGTCGATTTCGTTCGTTCCTCGGGGCCGACCTAGCGTCTGAAGATGACCTTCTCGTGCGACGGCGCTGCTGTCATTTACGGAGGGTGCCGGAAAAAACTCTTGACGAAAGCACTCCACCTTACGCGCTCCAAGAGAATAACGAGGACATACCAACCACTCACCGAGGTTCAACGTGATCTCCTTCCTGTACTCCGTAGGCTTTGTCGCGGTCCGGGCTGTGTGTGCTGAGAACTCTGGCCCCAAAGGTAATGCTCTCGTGGCATGCGCGCATGGCGCGGCGAGTTTTTTTGTGCTGGCCCCTTCCCGGGTACCGTGTCTGCTGAGCTACCATGTACGGAGCCCCGTGGGGCCTTTTTTTTTGCTTTTTCCACCGCGTGCAACCCGGGTGCCGCCAGCTCGCTCGCTGCTGGCCTGTGCTGCTCGCTGCTCTCTCTGCCAGAGTATCTCGAGCGGCACACGCCAGCAGTGCAGTGTGTCAAAGGTAGAGAACACGCGCAGTCTTTGTCGTGCCTTGGCAGGTGAGTTTCCCGCGCACGTCGATCTCGGTCAATCCCAAGGTGACTCGGCCTTGAAAAGGCCTCACGCAATCATGTCATACTACGAATTTGTAAATTCAAACCTGCCTTTGCCGTGCCAACAAGCACGAGTCCTCCACCTCCCGTGTACTGTACGTGACAGCAGTAGTTTTCACGGCAAGCTCTAAGGGTCCAGCAAGCGCACTTCCGCTAGACACACACACGCACTTTCTCTCTCCCCTCCCCGTCAACCAATTGTTTGCCACTGCTGTAGGGACTTGTCGTGCCAGCAATTTCAAACGCGGAGCCTGCCTTTGGTGGACGGCGACACGGGGCACACCGTCGTGTTCGCTGCTGACACCAACTACAGTACCCGGCAGCACGCAGTGTCAAGTGCCGCATACGAAAGAACATGTCAGAAAACCGCACGAAGCAAGAGTACAACGGCAGTGGCAGCAGTAGCAGTAGGCCTGGAGCAGAGCGTTCGGATGGGAGTCGGGGATTCTCGTCGGGAGCAGCTGGCCCGCGAGGTCGGGGCAGCGGCTCTAGGGGGAGGGGGCGAGGCGGAGGAGGCAGCGGCCGAGGGGCCTACCACCACCAGCAGCAGTACGACCAGCAGTGGATGCCGCCGACGGTAGGCTCGGAGTGGAGAGGCGGGAGGGGAAGAGGGAAAGGTAACTATCACAGAAACATGAGCAAGTCGTATAACAATGACAGCAGGGGCGGTAGCGGCACCACCACCAGCGGCAATGGTAGCAGCGGCTCTGCTGTCTTGGTCCCGGGCAGCAGCATCCGAGGGCCACGAGACGGCGGCAGCGGCGGCGGCGGCAGTAGCACGAGCGACAGCACGAGCAACAGCAATTGCCACCGTTCCAATGACTACGCCCACCGTTCCAACTACTACGGGGGTCGCTCTCCCCCGCCACCGCCGCCGCCACCGCCACCGCCCCCCCGACCGGCAGAAGCGGGAGCCACGTCTACGGACGGCGGCGGTGGCAGCAGCAGCAGCAGCCGCAACAAGCGCCCGGCCCCTGCCTCTCCCTCTAACGGAGACGACGGCGACAGCGGTGGAAGACGTCGACGTCGGAACCAAAGCAAGAGTGCCAGGGCGGGCAGCCGAGGGGAAGAAAATGCCGCTAGCACCGGTGCCGGTTCGGGCGGGAACGGGGACAAGGCGGGAGGGAAGGGCGCCGACGTCGGCAGCGGGGGCTGCGGGGGCGGCGGCGGTGGCGGCGGCGGTAGCAGTAAGAGGGCGCGCAGTAGCAAGGGGCGCAGTAGATCTCGCCAGCGAGAAGGCGAGGGGAGCGGGAGGGAGGGGGAAGGGAAGGGTTCTTCCGGCAGCGCGAACAGCGTCTCGGACCGAAGGCAGGCGAAGCTGAAGGTAGGAGGAACTTCCGCACACAGCTGCCCGATGGTATTGAGTCCTTGTACTCAAGGAGCAAGGACACTCCGGTGTCGTCTAGCTCCTGCGCCCCCCCTTGTTCGCAGGACCCTTTGATTAGATTTTTTTGTTGTATTTTTTTGCTTTTCCCGCTAGATTGACTTCTTTTCAGCCGTTAGCGCGTCAACTCTTACTGTTCAAAGACACACAAACACACATCCGGAGACTGCGCGCGGTGCATGGAGTCGGAAGCGAGGGTGTTGCGGACCACATATGGTTGACGAGCACCAAACTTATCGAGCGACTTGAGTGTGGACCTCGCTTGCGCGCGGGGGGCGACCGTTCTCAATGGATTGATGCCAACACAAAAAAAGTGTGCGAGGTGCAATAGCTGGCACAGCATTGAGGACAGCACCGGCGGGAGCACTGGACCGCCGAGATAGACAGGCTGCATACTGTCGAACGGGCCACAGCTGTGGACTGACGCATGCGTTATAGTTATTGGTAACGTAGTGACCTGCGGTGCGCAGAGGGAACCGCGTCCCAATGACCAAAAAGAACGACACGACGACACGACGGACCGTGGAATGTTGCTCCTAAGTCCAAAGTCAGGTGAAATGCTGCACGATGGCATCATGGTAGGCCAAGGGGACTCAATTTGCCGCGATCTGACAAAGATTGAGATAAGTGGTGTGTACCCTTTCAGTTGCTGGCCGTACTTTTCGGGCCCCCCTTGGCCGTGTATGGTGGAGTTTTCAACCCTTCCTGGATAAACAAGAAAAAAAGCTGGGAATATAACCCCTACCCCCCCCCCCACCCCGCCCGCAACTTTGATCAGAGCTTCGGTTGTCTCTCTCTTCCATCACTCCTCCCCTGCACAATTCCTCTCGATTCAGTATCGTGGTTAACCCCGTTTTCTTAATGTATGCCGCACACCCCGCACATTTGCCGCAACCCCCCATGACGAACCCATGCATACCCCCGGCGCACAGGAGCTGAAGGTCCTCGACGGCCGGAGGAAGGCAGCCGTGGCGGCGGGCGAGGCGCTCGCCAAGGAGGTCGAGAAGAATCGGATGGAGCAAGACGAGATAGCCATCCAGATCGACGCGGCGAAGCGGCTGCTGGCTCTGTACGACTCCAACTCGGACACCCCGGACGTCACGATACTCCCATCCCCGCCCCCGGCGCCGGCGCCGGCGCCGGCGCCGGCGCAAGCGCCACGGGCGGAGTATTCCTCCACGGCAGCTGCTGCGTCGCGCTCGGGGTCTTTTTCCGGCGCGGTGCGAGGGAGAGGTGGCGGCTCCGCCGCTGCGCGGGGTAGCAGGGTATCGGGATCATCGCCGTCTCTTTCAGCGCCAGCGGCGCGCAGCAACGGGAAGGTATCCGCGCGCCGCGCCACCGGCAGAGGCAGGAAAGAAGGCAGCAGCAGCAGCAGCAGCAGCAGCAGCAGCGACAACGACGACGAAGACTACCCTTTGGGGAGCACAAGAGTCGGCCTGCCCGGCGGAGTGGGCGGCGAAGGTTTCGGGCTCATCACGAGCATGCCGCCGGCGGGCGGCGGCAGCAGCAGCTGCAGCGGCAGCGGCGTCAGCAGCAGCAGGAACGGCGCTAGCCGAAACGCGGTCGCGGCGGCGAGTGCGGCGACGGCCAGCAGAAAGCCTCCGGCGAGCGTCGATGCGGCGGACGAGTTCCCGGCTCGGGTGCCGAGCGACGGGGCGGGCGCGGGTGCCGGGGAAGGGGCGCTTGATTCAGGCGGGACGGAGCCTGGGCGTACAAGTGGTGGCGGCGTTGGCGGTGGTAGCAGCGGTGGTAGCCGTGAGACGACCGGGGTACACAGAGGGGTGGAGGTGAAGAGGGACTCGTTCAACATCGTGAAGCAGCTCATGTTCCAGACTTCGAGGTTGGTTGGCCTTGTTTGTCGCGTTTGTTTCTGTCTTGTTTTAGCTAAATTTTTGGTGTCTCCTATATTTGTAGTGCGATGGGGGCGTTGGTCGAGAGATGCGCTGGAGCTTGTGCGAATGCATGGCCCAAAGTTAGCTATTCGGAGGTTAGACGCAATATCTCCTGCAAAACAATACGAACGATCTAAGCGTATCTTTGCACCGCATCCATACCCCTAGGCTCTTGCTTCACGAAGGGATCGAAACCTCAACGTTTTTTCCCTCTCCACGGGCTTGATACTTGTCGGCAACCGGAAGAGACTGGCGCCTTTACGTTCATGAAACACTTTTCTACCGGCCCAACGATACAATGTAGTAACTCCCCCATTTTGCGGCACCGCATCGGCTGAGACAAAGATTCATTTGTCCTGCTTGCCACTGGCGGGTATCACGCGGACTGAAGCTGCCCCGTTCCGGCGGTCACTGACAGTGGTGGGGGACTGCATCTCGCTTAGACTTTCTGTCTCGTGGTATTTTTTATCTCCCCGCAGGGCCTGTCTCGCGTGCTTTCACTTAAACACGATCGATAACTCGGCATCCGCTCCCAACAACAACATTGCTTCGGGTTGGGTTTCTCGTAGTGCGCTCCCTCCCCCCCGCCCTCTTAGCCCTCACCATTTTCCCCGAAATAGCAGCAGCCGTAGTGGGTTCAAACGAAACATCGGGTTCCCCGGTCTTTTCCTTTCTCAGGGGGTTCACCGCAGGGTTATCGTGGTCCTTGAGGACCCACCCTAACCCCTTGCAAGACCATGACAAATAGCTCCACCTCAGACGTCAACAGCTATTAACAAAGAATCCTCTTAGAACGCCCTCCCGCCCCCCCGGGGGGCCGGCGAAAAGCCGGCACATCACTTCTCCGTCCCGGCATTGTAGGGATGCGAGGTCAATGGTCTAACGAGTACGTGCTCATGAACACCCCTTCCCCTGCCCTCCCCTGGAAAACGAAAGGTCGCGCAAGCCGAGGACCATGGCCTTCAACCCGGTGGACCCGGGGCTTTTCGCCGTCTGCAGCGCCGACCTCTCCGTGGACCTTTGGCGCTACGGGAGGAACAAGCAGGAGCTGGAGAAAGTCTCGGAGCGGAACGACGTGACTCCGGTCGGGGGGGTGAGGGAGGCGCTCGCCGCGTTGCGGTTTCGGCTCTGCTTTATCTGAAAACACGCCGTATGGGGGGCAATCGTGTTCGGTGGTTGGTGCCTCCGGTTGGAGTACTGTACGCCGTTCTCTCATCCTCTGTTCTGTCAAGCCTCTGAACCACTGAACCAGGGGATCATTGAGTTAATGTGTAGGTGGAGTCCGACCTCAAACGGGGTGAAGCTCTACCGTAGTCCCCCCCCCCCCCCCCCCCCCCCCCCCCCCCCCCCCCCCCCCCCCCCCCCCCCCCCCCCCCCCCCCCCCCCCNGCATGAGCATTTCCCAACCCTTGCGATTTTCTCGTAGTCTGACGAAAGTGTTTGCCGAAACCCCAATCGTCGTCTGGCCGGCTTGGAGCAGGCTCACATGGCGTGGAACCCTTCCGGCACGCACTTGGCCATCGGGCACTCGGGAAGCACCCTCGTGAACAACTGGGCGGCGACGATCATTGCGAAGGACGGCAGGAGCAAGTCCGACATGAAGCTGCGCTCCGATCGTCACAACAAGTGAGCGTGCTGCTGTTGCTGTTGCTGCTGAAGCCGTCCGTTTTGGAATTTTGTCTCCATGCGGTTTTGGGATGTTGATGTCTGGACTGATTTTTTGCTGCTGGTATCTCTGCGTAGGGTGAGGCTTCCGCTTGTTGTCGTTGCTGGGCTTGCCGCTTCTGCTTGCTCTGTGGCCAGTGCTGCTGCTGCTGCTGCAGCTTACTGCGTGTTACGTTTCACCCGCTGATTCGACTGCTGCTGCTACTACTACTTGTACTGCTGCTGCTGCTACTGCCGGTGGTGCCGCTGCAACTGCTGTTGCTCTGGTACGCCCAGACCGGCGCAGGCCGTGGCGTGGGTGACTCCCTCCAAGAACAATCAGGACCACCTTGTCACCGGAGGGGAAGACGGGCACGTCGTCATCTGGACCCGGGTTCTCGACGCTGAGTCAGATCTTCACAAGGTCGCGGTGAGAATAGCGTCAATAACTGTTTTTCTAGGGCTGGCACTGCTGCTGCCTTGGGGTTCCAACGCCGGTCGCCCCGGTAGCCTAGTTGGTATCCTCGAAAATCCTCTAGTGGCCAAGGTCGGGGGCTCGAATCCCGGCGTAAGCGAGCTACTGTTGGAAAGTGAGTTTTTCTCTCGCTTCCGTTCCTGGTCTAGGTGAAAAGCTCTACATAAATCATGTGTACACAGAGGGAAGAGAGTGCCGCACTCTTCTCGCATTATGTGTCGAAGGCAAAGTACCGCAGGCGGGGTGGGTAGGGGTCTCGGGAGAGGAATCCTTCGGTGTGACCGCGGATTTGAGTACATGGTACAAGTGCTGTGAGGGCTGATTGAAGTGAAAGAGACAAAAAAAAAATGTCAAGGCGAAGAAACAGCATGCAAGAGCAGGCCTACGCATTCCATTGCGACTTTGCCTGCAACGCCGGAGAAAAAAAATTACATATATATACATATGAGAAGAAACTGCGTGCAAGAGCAGACCTTACGTTGCGGCTTTGTCTGCAGCGCCGCGGTTGATCATGCGGTCGATATTCTCGCCCGTCCTGGTCTCGCCTGTCTTCAAGCCCGTTCCGAACCGAATTTGATCTCTCCGAATTTACACCGTGTCATTTTTAATTCGCGATTGGCCCAGGCAGGCCATACCCTTTTTCGAATTCTTCGTGTACTTGTAGGGGAGAGTACACCGCAGGAGGCTAAAACTGACATTGGCCCTTTAGTTTTTGACCTCGAAATTCATGCGAAGATAGCAGCTGCGAAGGTGTGACGTCGACGCTGGACCGTCCGTACCTTTCATCCCACCCCCACCCCTCCCCCTTTGCCCCATGTGGGGTAACCGGGAAGCTTTTCCGAGGTGAGGAGGAGCCCCAAAGATTGGACGTGTCCTGTTCGAGGGCAGTGTTGGAAGGCTTAAATCTGGCGGCAGCTGAGCGCGCGCCCCCCTCCCCGCGACAGCTCTCTGTTGAAATATTGCATCTTTCAAAACGTATTCCTCGAAAAACGGACACAATGGTACATTACATTCGTCGGTCAACAGTCATGACAATTCAGAACCTCCCCCCCGAATTTCATGTCCGGGTGCCGTCTGTCTTCAATAGATACTGCACAGCAGGCACACGTCGGCCGTGAGGAGCGCGTGCTGCCCGTCCATCTCTCCCACCGTCGTGACCGGGGGGGCGGACGGCCGGCTGGTGAGCTACAGCATAGAGACGGCCTCGGTGCAGTGGGAAGAGCTACTCCGCGTCAGCAAGACGTACCACCCAATGGTGAGCGCCGCCGTCATCGTCGTTGTTGTGTTGGCCGCCGCGTATGCACGCAAACCACTATATGTTCCGCTCTCCCGCACCATCATAAATAACCGTACCGAAATATGTACCGTAGTTACCCATGCGTTTATTTTCTTCTGCTGATGCAGGTTGTCTTTTTCTTGTTTTCTCTCTTCGGCTCCACACTTGAAACTCGGGTTCCTTGTTGTTCGTTTCGAAATGTTTAATAAGCGTAGTTGGCGAGTTCGTGTTTCCTGCTGTTATTTAATCGCAAATACTCCCCGCCGCCTGTCCTTTGTTATCTCGCTCTCCTGCCACCCTCCTCTTCGTTGTTGCTCTCCTTCGCTGTATTTTCCTTGGCGCCCACTATCCTACGGTTTTAATTGTGTTTGTGTCTTGTTTGTCCTCGCTTTCAAGGTGAACGAGCTTTTAGAATTCCCGGATAACCCGCACTCCCTTCTGGTCAGCACCGTGGACACCGCTAAGAGCCACTCTCTGTTCACGTGAGTTCAGAGGTTGGTCCACGATGCGACACCACTATCATACTATCACAAGAGACTCGCTCCCGTGTTGAGCGGGGAAAAGTTCAGGCTGCCACCCGCGGCTAGCCAGCGGTGTGCACAACAAGTGTCGGTGGACACCAACGTGGCATTTTTTCGCTGGCGTTTGTCGTTTAGGCGGTTTCGTATATCTATTGTTTGCGCGCTCGTTGGGGACGGAAGTGGTGCTCAATCCCTAACCGTCTCCACGGAGATACCACGGGAGCACGGTACAGTTCGCACATCGCACACGACCCGACCCATTTCGTGGTTCTTTGTCTCGTCTTGAATTTGCACGGACTCTCACCATCCGTGCTGTTTTTTTTTTTGCGCCACCGTGCTTGGGCTAACGCTCTCCCCCGTTGAAAGAACGCCGGTGCGTGGACGGTACGTGCTGAAATATTCTAGCACGAGCAAGGGCGAGCGCGATGAAAAGCCTTTGAACCGACCACGGATGAATAATAGCAGCACGCGCGTTGTCGAATGTTCAAGGGAACCGACAACCCAGTGACTGCCCGGATCCCCTCCTCTTCCGCCGATCATTGATGCCCCCAACCGGACGCCGGTGTCTCTTCTGGCAGCATGGACACGCGGCAGCCTACGTCTCTGATCCACACCGCCCGCCGGATGGAGTGGAAGAGGAAGGACGACAAGAAATCCTTCAGCGGCCTGGTGTACCCCTCCATCTCTCCGTGCGGGCGGTACGTGGCCTGCGCCGGCGACTGGAACGGGTGCTTCCACATCTGGGACGTGAGGTCTGCGCGGTCCGAGCCGATGCAGGTCTGTTTTTTTCTTCATTTTTTTCCTCGCCGTATTCGATTTCTCTCTGCAGTTCGAGGTTGTTGGTCGAAACGGAACCCCCCGTTTTTTTTTTACGAACACATGCCGCGAAACGCCAATCATGTGTTTCGACTTGAACTTGAGCGCACACGAACATCGAGCCGTGTGTCATCCGATGGTGTACAGCCTGAATGGCATGCACCAGCATTTCCCAACGAGACCGTTTGTGTCGATCTCCTTTGTCCGGCGGCCATTGGTTGCGAAGTCTGGTTGTTTCCAGACTTTGTCCTGGTTTTGTTTTGTCTAGAGGGTGTTACGTTTGATGAGCCTTGTGCTCTCACTTTGTGTTTGATTTTCCTCTTTGGGTAGCTGCTTGTGACCACGGAAGGCATTCACGCTTTCGGTTTGACCGGTACGGATGCCAGAAGGCAAACGGCAGACATCGAAACAACAACAACAATCACAAACGGGACTCGGAAATGCAATATTACGATGTGGTTGCGGCTTGCGTCACTGTAGCTGCTTGATATGCCTGCGTCACTGGAAACTTGCTTCTTGTTCAAGCGGATTTTTATGCGAGCGGGAGGGGTCGAAAGGACCTCATCCTGAAGACAACAACGACAAGAAATACAATTGACTACCAGGCGTCTCTGGTGCCGTCCACGAAAGGATGAACGTTTGTGACCTCGAAGTCGGAAGCGACGCAGGGACCAAGCTACTTACCTATCCGCGGTCAAGACCCTGGCCCTCGCCAGCCTCGTACATGAACATGCGCGCGTACGTATTTGCTCTGCAGAGATAATCTACTTTTTATTTACCGGGGCCACCTGAGATTGGTACATGTCTCCTCCGCTTGTTTTCGTGTTCAGTGACCTTGTAAATGGGCTACTGCTGTATCTCGCCGCTTGACTAGCGCAGTGCCACCACGCACTCACACACATGCAAATCCTTGGGCGGGGCCCCACGGATTGGAACCCGTTTGTTGCTTTCTGTCTTTGTCCCGCCAAACACACGCCCCTCCAAGCTCGCAAACGTTTGGGACATGCGTGCAACTGACACGACAAACGTTGATTGTTTTTCGGTTGCTCTATTTATCCCACCTGAGCCCCACCTTGAATACAACGCACCCATGGCTCTCCAATCAAAAGCAAGAAAGGGGTCCACACAACAGGAGAGTATTTTTTGGATATGTACAAGATTCCGCGGCTTCGCTCGGCGGGTTTCCATGATCACCTCTTATTTTTTGTTTCGTCGTGTCTTACACCCTTCTCGTTGCCTCTCGCTCGCTCTGTCAGAGCGTCCTCGTGAATTCGGTGGCCAGAGTGGTGCACACGGCGTGGCACCCTGACCAGGACGCGCGCGCTCTCATGTCGCTCTCTGCCGCCAGTGGGCAAGGCGGGAAGAACTTCGCGCTTCACCTACACGGCGGCCTGCGGTCTTGACCCCGTTGGTTGACGGGGTGTGGACGATTTTCTTTCAGCGAAGAAAGCGGAGGACAGGACGGTTGTTTCTGGAGCGACGAGAGGGTGCAGGTAGCTCGGCACGTCGCTTGTGGCGGCGGGGGGCTTCGTGATCTTGGCGCGTTTGTTGAACGAAAAATACAACATTGTTCGATGCGTTCGGGTCGCTGGGTCGGCGATTGTGGCACCGCCGTTGTGGTGCGAACAGCGTTTGGGAAGAGCTTGGCGCTCTAGCCCTCACCGTAACGTGCGTGCAGCCTCGGCGAGGATGCAAACTAGAACCCGACCCGGGGGTCGAGGGCGTGGTGGCTGCGGTGTGTGTTTTTGGTCCTGTTGGTGTGTATTGGTTGGTGCGTTTTTCAGACTGGTGTTATTCCCGGGTGTCATCATCCGGGTGTTCGTGAGAAGTCGTGATTGTTTTCTTGGTCGGACGATGGTGCGCGGCCCTGTCTCGGGCTCTTGTTTCACGTATCTTTCACAGACATGAGTAGAGGGAACGTGTTTTGCTTTTGGGGAGAACCCCAACGGGTAGTGGACAGGGGACGAGAATGCACACCGCCGGCCTGCGGTCTCATCCTTTTGGGCGAGGACAATCGATCAAAATAGATGCCGAGAACCCCACGTCCTGGACGATAGAATTGTTTTCGAGTGTTGTCGGTGAACGATGTTACATCAAGATGAGAAAACTGTTCGTGTACCCCCCACGACAGGCCGAGGCTTCTTTGGCCCCTTCGGGAGAGCTAGGGCCAAGCCGTTCGCCGGGGAGGACCGAAAACGAAGGTGCATTTTTGGGCTCGGGTCTAGTGAAGCTTGATGCTTACCTCGGCGAATTTGTGTGCACCGAATGCCGACGTTGTGCCAGAGGCATGTCCTTAGTTAAGAGGAGGAAGCTTCTTCTTGCTGTTGTGTGTTGTTGCTGTGGCGTTGAGGGTGGGTGTGACAGGGAGCTCGCGTGTGGGAAACGATATCGTCGTCCTGTGAATTCAAGGCCAGAGCCGGAAGCGAGAGATACCCACGAAGCTCGAAGAATCCAGTAGGAAACGACAGAAAAAAGCCGTTTCACGTTGGCACGGCGGCGCGGCACAGCAGTGTGTGCACCATCAACTCGTGGATTTACCGCTAATCGGGCGGAATCCTTACACAACCCTGCCACCCTACCCCAGTATCGTTCAATGCCGTCTCATGCGAGTGCGGGATTCTTCCTCCTGTCCATCAGAAAGCAGTCTTCCATATCTGCAACTGTTTTGGTGGGGTCGCCAAACCGCCCTAGTTTTTGAGATATGGCGAGTTTGTGGTTGGGGGGTACAGCAGAGTCCTGAGGTGGTGATTGAGGGTTTCTTGCATGATTGCAAGGTTCACAGGGCGTTCCCCACCGTTTGGGTAGTCTCGTCCGCAGGTTTGATTCCGCTCAAGATGTTGTGAGATCACAGTTTTCCCTTCCAAAACTGCCCAAAGTCTCAACAAAAACCCCTAACCCGATAGACAATATAGACACGAACACTATATCTTTGATCCCATCGCCTCGCCCTACCAATACTTGCCTCCTCTACCGTAAGCAGAAACCATGTAAGACAGACCCTCATGAGTGAATACTGGGGGCCGCTTGGATGTGCAGCGACGCACATACTTGGTTGCTGCATCGCTTTCCTTCTTAGGCGCTCGACAACGGCAAGCCACCAACACCCTCCCCAATCACGTTGACCCACGCACTTGCATGCAGACCGTGCTCATCATTTAGACCGACATCTCGCTAGTGATTGACGGGCTAACGCGGTCGATACTGATTGGAAAAGACGGACATAAAGTACATGACTTCTTCCTCCAAAACCTAGTACCTTGGGTCAAACGGCCAGCGTAAAAGGTTTCAGCTTGCAACCTGTTGAAACCAAAACTTCACGTGAACGTCGATAAAAAAAATATACAAACTACGTGCACGACCCGCAACGAACCAACGTTCGCCCTCACTATTAAAAACTTCCCGTCCTACCGGTACACACATGCATGGCAAATAGGCGCCCACATCAAGGAGGCGAACCGTTTACGGGGGAACCGAGACCTTTTGGTAAGAATACGCGTGGCGGACACGACCATTGGCGGATCAAGTAGCCAAGGAAAGACAACAACACACGAATGGAAGACAATCAAACACGTTCGTCTGTACAAAGATCGAAGAGAGATCGACCGAGATTTGCCTCCCTGTAGGTGCTGCCAAGCAAACATCATCTACACCTCTTCAGGGAACTACAGGAGGTGCTTATGGTCCGAAGGATACGGGTGACGAGGAAACGACCCTTGTCAGATCAAGAAGGAAACAAAAAAACAAAAAAGATAGGAAGTGAAAGACGCCCATACCACGACCACACTTGCTGTACATAGATCGAACAAGGCTTGCTTCCCTGTAGGGGTTTCGAAGCCAAATGTCGAGAGCGCTTCGATTTGCATTCGCGTTGATCTACACCTTTGCGCATCCCTGGGCATCCCATCAACATGCTCATCAATTTAAGTCTCCTACATAAGTCTTGGTCTTGTAGACGATATTTTTGCTTTTGTCGCTCAATTTGGTCAACGTCTTGATGAGATTGAAGAGATGTCATACAGTTGTACCACGTTGAGATTCCTCCTTCGCCCAGCCCGCCCACGCCCTCCTAGCCTTGGTCAATAGTCTAACAACTGGCATGAAAAACACGAGTACCCCCCCGCCCCCACCAACAGGGCAATAATTTGTTCAGCCAACGACACGCACACGAAGCGGGTGGCTGAATTCGAGCCAACGCGAAACGCAAGCCAGATCTAAAATCAAGCCGGAACGGTCTGTTACACTTGCTCATGCTACCTCTGCCAAGTGCTGTTAGTCCGGCCGCATCAATCGAAACCTCGCTCCGCGATCCACCGCTCACCTCCGGGTGTCAATGGTCGCTTCGGGCGGTTATTATTTCTCGAAAACGCGTGTTTTCGAGAAAAAAACAATCAAGAATCAGGAAAACACCAGCTGGCTAAGAAAACGACAGCCGGATATGGCAACACCATAGCTCCAACGTCCACAGTGGGGTGCTGTATCTTCCAGCACTTTCTTTCTGGCTTTTTTCTTTCCGTATTTCTCGCCATCTATTTTCCTCGCTCTCTCATTGGAAGTGACACCGAAGACAGGGCCCGCCGAATTTCTGGGAATAGCGTCGATTCTCCATACCCCACAATTGTCCGCTCAGCAACGAATGTTTGAGGTGCATCCTTACCCTTGACTTCAACCATAATTTGGGCAATACCACCCGCCCTGCGTGCATTGTGATGGGCCTCGGAAGGCAGTGATGGGCGCAACAACTTACGGCTCGCGTTTCACCCACCCATCTCGACGCATTCATCATAGCGCATGCCTGGTAAATACGCGCGAGCAGGATGAAAACCTCGCTTAAGCAACCAGGTCCAGACAAGATCCAGCCCTTCCTCCTCGGCGTATTTTCTGGGAGGTTAGTGTTCGACCCGATAGTTCATGACGCTGACGTTGACGCTTTCCACAACTACCTCCAGGAAGCGGTTGTCCTCCGAGCCAAGGTCGTGCACCACGATATATCGCGTGGCGGCCACGCTGGCCCCTTGCCGGGAAGAAGGGCGAGGCCTGCCGTTGCTGTCCCACATAGCCCCCGCCCTATTCTGCAGCACCCTGATCATCTTGTCCGTGTGTCGTGTCATTCTGATGAAGTAGAAGTCGGCACCGATTTCGTACTGTTGGTGAATTGAAAGAAAACGCGATGGCAAGGAGGGGGGGGAATGGTTGGTGTCAGTTGGCACGGGGTTGGTCACAGGGAATAGTGAGCGGAGACGGTTACATAGTCGGATGCAATGCTTCGATAATACGCGCTTTAAGCGATTTGACGTTGCTTGCATATGGCGGGAGACGAATTGGAGTCACCGGTACTTGACGGCTTGAGACAATCAACGCTGCAAGGCTACAGACACCGACTGGTGATGTTGACAGACCTGCAACCAAGTGTGTACACGCTCGTACCAACGAGGCGGCGCTCACAGAAGAGGTGCGTTCAAGGGTGAAAGGACTAGCGTCAAACCCGGCGGCTGCTATTGCGCAGATATTCACTGTACTAACGTAGGATCAGCCATCCCTGCGCACCGCCCACACACCTGCAGTTCGTAGAGCAGCTTGGATGGGTCGTTTCCCTTCGGACAGCCATTCGGGTACCTGTCCCCGATCCCGATATGGTACATCGAGCCGTGGCACGGCGCGTCGGCGAGGAGGATGCAAAGGCGGATTGTGCCCCTCCAGTCCAGCTCCGTGGCGAGCTTCAGCCCTCCGGCAACGTCCTCTGGGAAGTCAGCGCCTGGATGATATGGTACATGAAGGAACGGCTTAGAGCGAGGGGAAGTATTGCCATTCAAGAGAGATGCTGACGCGAAAGGCGCGCGTGGGTAGGGGAAGAATGGAGAGGCGTAAAGACACGGGAGGGGAGATTACAGCGGCGGGGGTGAGGGCGAATACGTGCACTGCCATCAAAGGAAGACCTCATCGGGGTTGGACGGTGGTACTACTCAAGACGAGCGCTGGCTGTCATGTTCCGAAAAGCGCTCAAGCGAGCAACCGCGACTGCTGCCATGGACAGGCTGGACATGAAGGGAGAAACGACGTGAATAGCCTAGTACATGTACCACATGTATTACAGCACGATATGCAGTGATGCGAATGCAGGCATGCACCTCCGTAGGCCTTAATTTTGTTGAGCTTGGCGCGAAGCTTGGGAAGATCATGTTCCTTGTGGAAGTCGAACGTCTCGTACTGCACTTTATCTCCGAAGTCGCGATACCTGTAAACGTGGCGGGAGGAGTTTTCGGAAGATCGCCAGGGGCGTGCAGAACATTTCGTTACGACGGGAACGTGGTGCGGAAAGTTGAAATAGTCTTGGTCGGATTTCTCGAGTTCACTCCCCCATGTAGACGTCGGTCAATCAATGCGCGTTTACACCGACACACCGACAAACACCTCTCTGCCACACCCAACACCACTATGATGCAGAGGTAGATGAACGAGACCAGGCTAACTAAGGCCATGAGACACAAAGGGACAGAGGGAGGGGGGGTGGGATCGATCGAAATACTCTTGGGATTGGCAAACACAACATCGCGATGGCAGAAAAGCACAATCTCGGAATAATCGGGGTGTTGACGATCGGCCAGCGTGGCTACGGTTCTGTATGATTGATCTTGACAACGTACCCAACGAAGGCCACCCGCAGGTTGATGTTGGCGACGTCCTTTTTTGCCTGGTCAATGATGTCCAGCAACCTGGTCCTGGCCTGGTCAATCCACCGTTGCATCTGAGAAGCAGAACCACCATGGGGAACAACGTGGCACATCAGGCCAAGAAAGCAACAAAACTCGGTGTTGGAGTGTCTTGAGTTCGACGTGCGTGGTGTGATTGGTGTTTTGTCGTTTTGTTGTAGTGTCTATGTCACTCAGATTTCGAATAACTTACGTACGAACGGATCGTTAACTTCGTTTTATCCTTCAGCGCAACACCAGAGCTGAATCCTCGATGGAGGGGCACCCGCTAAGATCCAAGACGTGCCGTCAGCAACAAAAATGTGTCTGGTTTACCGGCACTCCTCAACGGCGAGCACAAGCAACCGCTTTGGACACTCGGCGACTTCTCCCTTTCCGCCTATCTCCCCGTCGACATGAAAAAAAAGAAAGCAGTGCACGCCGAGGATATTCGGCAGCCCTCTCACCGATCCTGTGCAGTCCATCACGAAGCATAAATCTACGTCGGTCTTCCTCGTAGAGTCATTTCGCGCTGCTGCCATTCTTGTTTTGACCCGTTTAACCCTGTCCAGACCGTGGTCAATCGCCGAAGTCAAGCACTCGGGGTCCTTGCCCGCGCCAGGATGCAAACTCAACGCTACCAGCAGCTCGGAGGAGAAAAGGCGGCCATAGTTGCCGACAGAGGCCAGACCGCGGAGCCCCAAGAGCGATGCCGTGGCAACGCTGGGGTCGATTATGTCTCCCGTCCCAATCAAGGCTTGCGTGTAGTGATCGATTGCCTCCTCGTGGTAGCCGTTTGCCACACTGAGGGCGGCGCGCGCCTCCAACAGCCTCTGGCGGAGGATGTGAACTGGGGTTTCCAGAGGCGTCGCCGTCGTCGCCCCCGGCCCCGCGTCGACGCTGTGCCTCTCGTAGGGCGCGATCACCAGCTCGGCCGCATCCAGTGCTTCCCCTGCCTGCTGAAATCTACCTTGCCCTCGCTCCAGGACGGACAATTGGAGGAGGTATCCAAATCGCTGTAAGTCGTTCTTCGTGTCGCCGGTGCTGCGGTTTCCTCCGCTGTTAAGGTCGGCGGAGGTTAGCTGGATGCACTCCTGCAACAGATTCCTGGCCTCGTTGATGACTTCCAGGTCTGGCTTCCCTCCCGTTGCAACGGCGCTATTGCCCCTGGCTTCGGTGCACCGAGCAAGGTTAGACTTGCGGCTAGCGAGCTGCCGGTCAAGAGCGGCGTGTGATGTGTTATCGTCATCGTCGTCGTTTGCGTCCACATCCGCGAGTGCAGCATGTGCAGCCTCAACGTCTTCCTCAAACTTGGTCTCGCCGACACCGTCACGACCACCGTGGTGGGCGCTCGGGTGCTGCGGTAAAACGCCATTCGGTTGGTGATTGGTGGCTGCGCAGAGCATCTCGGCGTCGTCGATGGCGAGCTTGAAGTTGATGGCGGCGTCGGTAAAACTCAGCAGCGCCGCTTCCATGAGAGCCTTGGCTTGGGCCGGATTTCTTGCATCCCTTGCCTGCGCCACGAGCTCTCCGGCCTCCATCGCGCAAATGTTGCCGAGGTTGTTCCGCACGATGCCGATTCCACGCTCGTTTTCCAGCTTTATGAAGAGTTTTAGGGCATCCAAGTAGATGGACTTCGCCGCGGCCATGTTTCCTGTGGCGAGGGTTGTGTTGGCGAACTTTACTGCCGTATTCATGGACTCGAAGGCTTCCACCAAGTCGTCAACCTCGGGGGAGAGCATGTCGTTGGAGGGCATGTCGTGGACGATCCGAGTCCCTGGCGGCTGTGCCACGCATGAGCACGCACACATGCGAAAGAAAGTTGTGCGAGAATTGACACCGTCATCAAATGACATTGGCATGCCGCTTGTGCAGCAGCGCCTGTGAAGGTCTTGTGAATGATTTGGGCACATAATTCGCAGAACAGCTTTTCCATCACTGCAAGTGTAGAACCGACTCATGCGCGTACTTGGCGGACTCAGCGCATCTCACCGGCGGATGTTTGTGGTAAGTAGGAGAGTGCGCGTATGCACAATAACAAATTTGGTGGAGAAAATACAACTGGGCTTGTCGGCCGGCCGCCACCGGGCTTCTCTTGGCAACATCATGTGCCTTCTCCAGGTCAAAGCTTAGACGTCGAGTAGCTCTGCGCTCAACTGATACAGTACATCCTGCTTGTTCGTCCTTCTTGTTGGTGCTTGAGAGTACGACTCGCTGCCACATTTGCGAGATGCATGTGGCACGCGCCCAAGTACAAAATTCATGACTCCGGATCAGAGCCCCTTAGCAGAGAAGGTCATGGTCGTAGAGTACGAACAGCAGTGAACGAAGTTCGAGGCACGATGTTCTAGATAAAATGGGACAGAACGCCTCAGGCTATTTGGCGACCAGCTACAAAGCGGTGGTGGGGCACCTGACGGAGCGAGAAGATTCATACCTGCCGCGAAAAATCCAACCTGTTGAGTGCGTACACGGCACCGATGAGTTGGTTGATCGGACCCACGATCCCGCGAGCCACGAATCGAGCAGTGACAACCATGATGCAGACGATTGCGACCAGCACCAGGGCCATGATGAGGCTCGCGAAGAGAACCACCCGGGAAATCTGTGATTTCGTCTCGGAGAAGGTCTAGATCAGGTGTGTGCCGGTACGCCACGCGAAAGGGAAAGTAGCAGAAGGAGGGAACGGAAACAACAAAAAACACAGTTAGAGCCACGGCCAGAAAACTGTTCTGAAACAAGACAAGCGCGCTCCCTCCATCGCCTAGTTCGTCCTCGCGGGCTCCAGAGATACTGCATCTCCATCTAGGCTGGTCCCAGGAAATATCCCGAAGTTGAACAATTTGCAGACGTATCCGAAACACGACACTACCGGCTTCCGCAGCCCACCCTCCTCCTCCGCTCTCCCACAAAACTATTCCCTCCCTGAACCACCGTACCTCCAACAGAACCGACTCGCTGACCGTCACCACGGCGATGAAGCCACCGTCGCCGCAGTCGTCGCTGGCAGTAGACGCGCCGGCGCCGCTCACGGTCTCGTGCTTCCAGGCCAGGATCCACGTACTTCCGTCCCTCGAGTATTCCGCGGAGCCGGAGCAGGTGGCGGAGATCTCGGTGACAAGATCAAGAAACTGTGATTCCTCCTCGCCGCTTTCGTCGGCGTCGTCTCCGAACTCCAAGTCCAGGATGTAGGTCACGCCGCCATAGCCCAACAAGTCCCTGTGAACGGCCACCTGCCCGTCCCCGCCCGGGGCCAGCAGGTAGGCATAACCGTCATCGTCGATGACCTTGAGGTCCTTGATGGAGCTCTCGATGTTTGTCGTGTTGATGTCCAGCCCAACCACTCCGGCCACGGTGCCGGCCAAGTTGAAGACCGGCGCTGCTGCCGTTAGGGTCAGCTCCTGCGAGCTGGCGGCCTCGTAAGGGTTGGTGAAGATGACCCCGGTGTTGCCATTCTCGATGGCGTTTTGGTACCACAGTCTGCATCGCGGCTCGTACGAGTCCCCGGTGTAGGTGGTTTCATCCCAGCTGTCGCATACCTGGTTGGCGTGTAAAGAAATGTTTTTTAGTTTTCGAACCGTTCGTGTCAACGTGCAAGGAAATGAGGAGCGTGTGTAAGAGTTGTCGTGAACGATCATGTTGCAGTCCTGGCGTCGTCGAAGCCCAGGGCATTCGTGTGAATTCTCGTTGGTGTTCGAGATGAGTCTTCCAACACAACTTCGATACGAAGGGATTCCACCGAGATAGGTGTGGTACTGGTTGGTCGTTGTGCCCTGCATGCTTACCCCAACCAGGCCCCATTGCAGGTAAGGGGTCATATCGAACCCGGCGTAAGCCTGGAAGTTGATATCCGAGATCGTGCCATCGGCGGGGGATGGATCGTCCAAGGCTGCGAGGTACACAAGGGGGTGCTGCCGCTGCATTCCCCGAAAGGGAACGTCCATCAGCGACGAGCGGTTGAGCAGGCTTTCCAGGGACCCGCCGGCCTCGGGCACCTCACCCGTAGGCAGGTCCGGGATATACCTGGACGAGCGATTGGCAGCGGCATCTATGTTTCTCACCTCAAATTTCTGTTAATGTTTGACTTACTTGAGCCGTGTCTACTGACAAGCACACACTTTGCACATCCACACATCCTTTCGCAATCGCTTCGGAAACATTGCTCCAGAAATGGTACATTAGAACGCCTGCGGCATTCCATACGCACAAGCACAAGCGGGTCTTCCTTGCTCCACTTGGACAAGTCGAGAGCAGAAAATGATGGGGGGGCGGGGCGGATCGCCCTGCAAAATGATAAGAGACACAAGAAAATCCGCACGCTATATGCGCGATGATGTTCCAGGTATGGGATTTTGTCGAGCACACATGCACAGCTCACTAAGGACGTTGAGTAGCGAGCATCACGCGTTTTACTCTGGGCATGTTGAGCTTTACACGTAAGGACAAATACCCCGGCTGCCAGGGCCTTGGAGGCAACTTTGCCCTCTCAAGAAGAATTGTACCAAAGTCTCCGGGTAGAGTGTACTTGCCAAACACTATTATCGAACGTGGTGTCAGATTGCAGGAGTCCCGAATAGCTGGTCATGTACGAGTCGACCGTCATCGTCTCTGGAACGGCCAAAACGGCCTGCCCCGCAAACGTTTGCAGCTGCAAAATGCTCTCCTCGACCCTTCCGAATTGCTCAGACACAAACTCGGCTTTCGCTTCCGCAAGCTTGAGCAGGTTCGCCTGGTTCCATGAGAGACGAGGATGCGAACAGAGAAGAAGAGAAAAGAGAAGGCGATAAGACAGACAGAAACAGAGAGAGAGGTCAAATCAGCGTATCTCAGCGAGACAAACACAACCTTCTTCAGCGTCTAGACACCGTCTATGCTGATCCCAGCGTGTTGCTTTAGAATCGATTGCCCACTGCTGGAGAGTACGCCAACCAAAGACACCATGTACTTTTAGCAGCACGCACCTCCTCGACCTCAACCATCGCCTCCCTTGTGTCGCCCCCCCAATCATCAACGGCCGTGAGGGTCAGCACAACCTGAATGAGGAGGATGATTACGGTGCCCGCCGCGACTGGAGAGAAAAGTGGAAAGAGTGAGAGACAGCAGATGGGGGGGTAGAGGCCGTCGAGGCAAAGACCGAAACGGCAAGTATTGGGTCGTGCTTGCCCTCGTTGTTCGTTCTAACCACCAGACTAGAATCGTATGGTACCAAGGGAAGGGCACGCGGAACCTGTCCGTTCAGAGAAAGTCGGATATAAGAGAGTGATTTCGGCTTGTGACACCCTGTCTTCGCAATGTACTACTGATTGTAGTCCCTCGTCAAAAATGCGCTATTGTTGTTAGCAAAGGATTCTTTCGTGTGGTGGGAGGGCAAAGCACACAAGCTACTACGCACCGTCTCTCGCGCCTAGTGCGAGCGCGGTCGTGGCGCAGCCAGCGTGCAGAGGTAGGGGTGAAACCGTCTGAGGCACACAACACCGAGGTCAAATCCAAGCGTGCTCGTCAAAGTCATCCCGCACACCTAGGTACCCTGTCCCCCGCGCCGCCCCGGAGGCCGGGAAAAACGTTTTTGTATTATTTGCTCTTGGGGTTTGAAGTCCACGTCGCGCAAGCTGCACATGGGGGACACCTTGTGTGCTACCAGTGACCGACGTTTCACGCGTAATTGAGCGGGCTATTTAGGTGCTCTCGTCCATGTGCTCCGTACCCGTTTTGTGTGCTCATGGCTTGGGGGTTCACAAGCGCGGATTTTAGCTCGCGCATTGGAACCCTGACAACCCCCCCCTCCCCCGCTTCAATTCTTCAACATTGCACAGGGGGTCCCACAAGGTTGCACGTTGTCCCCAACATTTTTCCAGGTGTTCATCAACGATCTGTTGAAAGTCATGGACGCAGTTGGGAAGGGGGTAAGGTAGGGGAAACTTGGTTATCGGGAATGCTGTTTGCGGATGATTTTGTTGGGATGTCTGACACCCTTGAGGGACTTCAACCGCTGACTGCCGCAGCGAAGGATAATACTGATAAGTGGAGATTGTCTGCCAAAATTGAGAATAGTGCCGTCAAGGAATGCAACGAGGACAGGGAGAAACCAGTGGAATATAGATGGAAGTGGGGGGTCGAGGAGCTTGCAGTAGTGGATCAGTACACATACCTCGGATTAGAGATGGCAAAAGACTGCTCGTGAAATGCACACATGACCAAGGTAGCGGAAAGGGGCAAAGCACGAGCAGGGAAGCTGCACCCAATTCTCGCAAACCGGCACCTCGATACACGCATCAAATTGATAGTTTTGAGGAGCATCATGGTACCGCCGCTAGAGTACGCCGGATAAGTATGGGAAGGAAATATGAAGGCCGTCAAAGAGCTCGAGGCGGCACAGATGAAAGCAGCGAAAATCATCCTAGGATGCTCCAAGCGCACAAGTAATGCAGCCGTTAGGGCAGAACCGGGGTCCGATCCCTACGATCGGTAAGAGACGCGAAGAAGCTGACATGGCAGTATCGCATGTGCGGTATGGGAGAGGAGAGGTTGCCGAGAATTATTTGGGAGGCGAAGTGGGCAAACAAAAAGAGAGGTAGACAACCCATGGGGTGGGTCAAGGTTGTAGATGACGTATGGGAGGGGTTCGAAATTGACGAAGGTGGTACGTTGGAAACGGAAGGTCTACAGGGGTTCAAGGAGAAGATATATGTTGCTTGTGCCGAGAAAGAATAACAGACTAACAATCAAAGAAAGCAAGCAAAAGGAGGGTCTAGAAGTGTACGAAATGCTGACAGAAGAATTAGGGTTCAAGGATTACCTACATGGACCAATGGATCAGGGACAAAACTGAAGGTACTCAGGACCGGGGATATTGGCCTTCGAGAACGTAGCCAAATATTTAGGAAGGTTGATGATGAAGACGACTAGTTCAAATGTGACTGCGAAGACTGTGTTCATGTAATTGCGGAATGTCGGTTGTACAAGGAGAGGGAAACGAACATGACTGAGCTGGTAAAGTAGAAGGAAGGTACAGGGCGATGTTTGAGGCATGGAATAGCCAGGAGAAGACGGTAGCTGTACTGGAGCATAGGAAGTGGGTTGAAAGGAGGGAAGTGATATCGATTGGGCATTTAGATTAGGGAAGGCCTTTTTGAGCCACCTTTGACAAATGAGAAAGGACCGGTCGGCCATCGGTGATCGGTTCTGAGGGAAAAATGCTCCTTCCTCTCGAGGACGTGTGGTCAATGGTCCAACCGCTAAGGCACGCAAAACATAAGAGTACGCCCCCCCCCGCTCTGTGGGCCCCTATGCATTAATAGGGAATAGACTGCCGGCCCTCCCCGAAAATCTCCAACATAAGAAAATGGGTACCTAGGTTGGGATTTTTTTTTTGCGCACCGTGTAATTTCCTTTGGTTTGGGGAAATATAGTAAGTTGTCGTCCGTTTTCGAAACCCTCTCGGCTGTTTTTTTCCTGTTTTTCGGGTGGAGTGAGAGCAAGAAAAATAAGCTGCTGTTCGCTGTGTCCCGTGAATGGCTGAGGCATGGCCGTGGCACGATGAGTCAGGGTCCGGGGGATGCACGCAGAACTCCTGTTGAAAATAGAGAAAGCGTGGGATGGACCACAAACTTTCAAATTCGCTTGGTTGACCTATCGGAAAACACGAAGATACAACCAATCCGTGTATGCAGAACGGTAGCATGAAAAGAGAAACCCACGGGCCCTCTCTACGAGGTCACACTGACGGCCCTTTTCGAGTTTGACCTCTTGAGAGAAAAAGGAGTGCGAAAATAATAGGGTCTTTGTCGCAGCCTTCTCTTTGCACCCACAAAGAAACCAGAGCAGTCCCGGCCCGCTCGTAAGGAACGCCTTTCTTTTGTGCGAGGCTCACATGTTTTTCCCGCGGCGATGAGACATGAGTATGTCATATGTCACCAGTTCTTGTTGGAAGAGCAAATTACAGTTGTAAACGTTCCTTGTTTCTCACTGTTCCTCATTTCTTACTTGCTGGTCAGTAATTACGTGCCAACTCATTGTACTCAAAATTGCATTTACACTGTTGCGAAAGTGAATGTCTGCCGGTACTACGGAACTACTGCAACAACCTTTGAAAGCACACAATTACCGCTGGAGAGGGCGGGAGGAGACCTCCGTTCCCCTCGCAAGTCAATAGTCAGAGTGGTGCAGAAGGGTGCATGGTCTATTCTCATCCGTGCTCGAGATAGCGAGCGGATGCGTGCCCTGTTGCTCCGCAGCCTCGCCCCCGATCCGTCCGACGAGCCACCCGAAACCACGCCTCAAGAACATACAACGCTTGATCAACGAGGGGTGGCTTCGCCGGAGGGACTCAACTCCTGGACACGAAATCCGTCCGGGAGCTGCATCAAAATACAATTGTAATGTACTCACGAGGGTCGAGGTTAATCATCGCTTTCGAGTCGCGGCAATGGGTCAGAGGCCGCTTCTTCTTCCCACGTCCAACCCCACATCCCGATGTTTCTTGTCATGGCGGGGGGCGCTCTGCATTTGTTTTCGGTTGTAGTGGGTTTTGCTTCATGCAAAGGTGGCGCTGCAGCCACCGGTGAGGCACACAAAAAAAGGCAAATTACTCGGTTTCAACAACATCCAGTACTATTTACTGCTGTAATTACAGCAGCGACATACCGCTGTAGCTGTGTAGCCCCCGCCTCTTGCGCGTGGAGGGAAAGCAAGTCGCACAAGCTCCTGTGCGCTGTGTCCCCCGACCGGCTGAGGCACGGTCGCTGCGAAACGAGTTTTTTCACTGTTTGTTAGAGTTGTGAATCGGAACGATGTACACGATATATATCGTCCGATATATATCGATATCGGTATCGAAAATTCGTGCCGATGTTCCGACCGATGTTTTCTTAGGGGCTCCGTGAATCAAATTTAGGGTATGCGCAGCAGTACGGAGCCCCTGTACGCCACACACACACAGCACAGCAGCGCAGAAACAGCAGACAACAGCACCATGTCCAGAACCAACCGGGAAGTAGACACAGGGAGAGACCGAAGGAGGGTACTGCTGAGGATACGCGACAATACATCAATCTTAATCTTTTTTTTTTTTTTCTACATTCCGTGCGATGTTTGCAGCTGAAGTCAAGCCCTTTTTGATGCCGCATTTGGGCCCATTTTGACGGGAAATGAAAGGAAAATGCACCAAATTTTCTGCCTCCGGCGGCGCCTCCGGCGAGGCCCCCTCACCAGCCGGGGGGGGCCGATGGGGGGGCTCGCTTCGCTCGCCCCCATCACGGCTCGCTGCGCTCGCCCGATATTTTCTCCGATATATCGCCGTAGGCGATATATCGGAGAAAATATCGTTATATCGGCTGCTGCGCAGCCGATGTAAAATATATCGTTTTTTCGTACCGATTCACAACTCTACTGTTTGTAGTAGTCTGGGCAGGGGGGGGGGGGCAGGACTCCCAATATTTCGTGGGTTTGGGTTCAGGTTGGGGCGGATCCTGCAATGGAGGTGGTGTGTGTGCCACTGTTGCTGTCTACCGGCGTTTGCATAGTGTTTATTACTCCACAGAAACGTTAGGACGTGCGTTCGACAATTGGTTCAGGTCGGGTTCGATTGGGTTGTGCTGAAGTGTGTTGAGTTGGGTGCTGATACGGGGTTAGGTTGGACCTCGGACCGTAGCGGGTCCGGGTGGCAGTGAAGCCCGGGTTGGGTTGGGTTGGTTGGTCCGGATCATGGGGATTGACGGGTGGGTTCGTTTGGGGGTTGGGTAGGGGCGTTTGGGCGGCGTTGAGTCCCTTCCTTCGTCGATCGCACCGCACGCAGTCGTTCCGTCGCCGTCACCGTCGGATGTCCTCGCCCTTGTACTTGTACCAAAAACACCCTTTCCCCGTAGACTAATGTAGCCCTCATCTTGAAAAATATTGACTTGGATGTGTATGGATTATTTATTTTCTGACTTTTGGCAGACGAAAGATATGTATAATCTATGACCTGCCCAACCCGACCTGCCAAAACCAGGAAAATTGAAAATACTTCCACATTTTTTATGGGTGAAGGGTTTCACACAAAATATATTTTGGGTTGAATACAACGCCCGCCTCGAGCTAGACTAAATAAATGGTACTGCTGTGCGTTGAGTGTGTGTTTTCGTCCTATTTATTACGGCGACAGTCCCCTCATTTCTCGTGGTGAGACGTGTACTACACTTTTAGCGTATATAGAGTACTACATATATATAGAGTACCACACTTTTCAGTGTATTTTTTCGTACAACTTCAACCATCCAGGGTCACACACGAGGGGGTAAACACCAGGGCTTTATTCTTCATTTTTATTTATTTTCATGCCCCACCTTCCTCCTGCGGTGCGTGCTGAATTTTATTTTTATCGCGGGAAGGGCCCAGCCGTCCCTTTCCCTCGTCAACGGTGCTAACCTAACGTCGAAGGTTGGTTCTCACGAGAGCTTTTCAGCAAGTTTCGCTTTCACCCGCAACGTTTGCAAATTTTCACCCCCGTAGGAATTCGAACTCACGACCTCTGCAACTAGCGGTTTACGAGAGGCCCACTAGACACCGGGGCTGATCGATTATTCGGGTGACTCAGTTGTGTGCGATGGGAGTGTAGAGCAGCTCGGCCATTACGGGCCG